CACTTTGAGAACAACATGAGGAGATCTATGGGTACATCTTTCAACACCCATTTGAAACAGAACTGTAAGCAGATTTTTCTTTTTTGATATTTTACAAATCATTCCCCTTTTAAACTCTATTCTTGTTATTTTCAACAACTTTTTTGTTACTGTCATATTGTATTTTATACCTGTTTTTCATTTAGTCTCTATGTCTCATTAATAATTATAATGATCATATTAAGGTGTGCCTTAACCTCACTGAGCTGAGGTTATTTGAGCCTCTCAGACTCAGAGAGAGCTCTCTTCCACCTGGTTGTAGAAAAGCTCTTTAAATTCGTTAGCATAGCTAGCTACCCAGATGCTAATAACAACAGATCGCCACTGTGCTTACAACTAAAGACACAGCCACGCAAACACTGCGGCATGTGTACGGCTCCTTATGGGTACTGCAATATTTGAAGAGCTGGAGCGGCGTTCCGGTGCTCTCCGTAAGTAGTCTAGTCTACACTCCTTTCAGACGAGACATACCACGTGAAGACACGTTACGCTCGTGTTGTGTTCAAGGAACCCGTCCTTGGCCAGGAAAAACAGGCACTCGCTTGTTTAATTATTTTGCGATCTAGATTTCTTCTTCTTTTTTGAAGTGAGAAGTTGTCCGTCAGTCGGACGGACTAACGGACTGACTGACGGACCCCTCCCCCCCCCAAAACGAAAACTCTTCGGTTCTCCACGAATTACACAAGTCACCCAAAGCAGCGTTAAAAAAGCGGGAGGCGCCGAAAAGCGACTAATTTGCATCACTGTTGAACATTAAAGCATGGAGACATGTCACAGTGGAGGCAATAAATACTAATATGAACCTGAAAATGAGCATTATAGGGCCCTTTTGAGTCATTTAATCTTACCAGCCAGCTGTTTCTGCTTGGCCCAGTAGCGGAGGGTGAACACCAGCGGCCTCAGCCTGTCCTCCACCCCTGAGCACAGCTGTAGGAAGCGGGTGTTCTTTACTGCCAGTCTAGTGAAGGATACAGGACAGGAGAAAAATAAAACCATTGTGTTATTCTGCTTTGTGTACAAGAAAAAAACTATTCTCACTACAGTTGAAGACTTTTACACTGAATCCTTTTATACCTGTTGTTGATGGTGATGTCGCCCTGCAGGTTCAGCTCCTGGTGATGGAACTTGACTACAGGGAGGCGAGCACTGCCGACCACGTGGACTTTGTGCACACTGGGGACACAGCGTCTGAGGATTGTTGCAACAAGTTCCAGGACCTCGTTGGTAGAGGAAGAGGACAGGTCGATATCAGACAGGATGGAGTCCTCTGAGCGGCCATCGTCTGACATGGCCTCCCCTGCCTGAAGAAAAAGAAGATGATTAAATACTCCGCAGGCACTGTGTAAAGTTACATTATTTAATGTATCAACACTGAGGTAAATAATGGCCATGGTGTGTATGTAAAACGGTCACACCTGTTCTGTGGTGGACTTGGCACGCGCCTGGAACACCTTTGTGTTTTCCAGGTCCAGGAACAGGTCTATGTCGCAGGAGTGGACGCCGAAAGTGTTGATGGATGAACCGAATGGCAGAATCTGGCTGTCTGCAACCAATCCACAGATAGGATTAGAAGTGAGAGAGCCAATACAGCTTTGGTACAATGATCACAGAACTCTCTGCTCCATAGTTTCTCTCTTCACTGTACATTTTAATATTCAGTCTAGTATTTAATATTCCATCTGTCACATACTTATGTAAATATAATACCTTGCTTTATATCTTGTTAATTTGTAAATTCAACATGTATACTTTCTAGTTTATTTCTTGTCTTTTAGATTTTTTATTGTACAATGCCAAGTCTTTTTATACTGCTGCAAAACAAAGATTTCCCAAATTGGGATCAATAAAGTTCCATCTTATCTTATCTTTAAGGCAAGATGTCATGGGTTCCCACGCCTTCTTTAACATAAAGTCAAGACGTTTCAAGGCCCAATTCCTTCAAATTCAAGGGACCCAACATGTCATAGTTTCAGACACAGATTAGGGCATAACACGGAATTATATCCGTAATCTAAAACTTTCAGGCTAACAACGTAATCGAAATAAAAACGATTATTATCATTATTAAAAAAATGTTATTTTTTTATTGGTTTTTCAGTTGAATTATACTTATACTAATCAACTGTTAAAAACATACTGTTAAAACATTTTTTCTCCAATAAATTGATGTTTTCAAAGTAAATGGATAATCGTTTTTAATAATCGTGATATCAATTATTGACCCAAATAATCGAGATTATTATTTTTGCCATAATCGAGCAGCCCTACTTCACAAAAGAAGTCACCTGGAAAAAACTCCACGAAAACCTCTTGCAGGAGCTGAACCAGCAACTCTCGGGCTTTCTTTTCATTGTCTCCCAGCTGAAATCGCTCTACAACGTACTGCATCTGTGCATCCACCTACGGAGAATAAAGAAGACTTTGATGACACATATGCGATATAATAAACTGTACTGTTCTCATTGAGTTAAAAAGAATTAAGTGGAGTCCAAAAACAGTATTTGACTGATGATTGTAGGTGCACTTAGGTGAATAATTTCCTGTTTAAATATAAGGGTTCTGAATACAATGTTCCCAAAATAGTAAGTGTAGTATATAAAGTTAATTTAGTTTGTATCAAACATTATTTGAATGGTTAAAACTTCCAAAAGTCACCACTAGAAGCTTCTAGATGCTGTCACACTCCTTACAAACATGTTTATTTGCCATCCACATAGACCCCTTCACGCTTTATACTTGATGCAGGACACTTACAGATGCCAACTGACACAGCTGAGGTTTGAGACGGTCGAGAGACTGTTGGAGGTTCTCCGACCCGGCCTTCTTGGGAATCAGCTTGAAATCCTTCTTCTCCCGAGGTTTGACTCGCAGCTTCAAGCCATTCATCCGATGTTCGAGGCAGGACAGCGTGGCCTGTGTGCTGTCGACCTCAGTGAACTGCACGATGGCGAACACACCCTGTGAGCGCAGAGAGACATCACAGTCATACTATATCAGGGAGTTGAATGTCAAAGGGAAATTCTGTGGAACATCCAACCCAAAACTAAAATAACCTTGGTCACGGTGAGGCTGTATTATGATTAGGTATCATTTAGTATGAACTGCATCTCATTATGAACACCTGACTAACCTTGGATTTATCCATGATAACATCTGAGACCTGGCCGAACTTCTGGAAGTACTCAGTGATGTCAGTCTGAGAGATGTCAGGCTTGATGCCGCTGACGAACACACTGCGCTCCCCCTGGGCCTTCCTGGTCTCCTTCACCGTGCTCAGAGTCATGTGTTTGCGCCCTTTCACATGCTGACCCAGGCTTGGCACTGCAGGAAGAAGAAAAAAAATCAATAGCATAGCCTGGCTTGATTTCATTACTTTTACTTGAGTAACATTTTGAATACAGGACTTCTCTCTGGTACTTTTACTAAAGTACTTGTTCTCCAACCCCTGTATATAGCACATAGATATGGTCCAACATTAGCTAACAGTATCAATTAATGTCATTCATTTTACATTAAGAGACAATAATGTTATTATATTCCACTCCCTTCACAGTTTAAAGTTAGCTGGGATTATTTGTAAACACCTGTTTAGGAGCTACAGTTAAAATGTATGTAGGGGCTTGCAAAAAACAGCAATAATTAAATCATAAATAAGAAGTTAAATGTGGCTAAGTTAGCTTTAGATACTTACAGTTAGGTAAATTGGCATTGCATAAGATGCAGAGAAACCCTTTTGGCGTCACTTTTATGTTCGGGTTTGCTTCCATGGTGGTAAAAAGTTAAATGTAGCGATAAAGCGAGAAATATATTAACAATTAAAGTCTCCAGTGAGCCAAGGTTCGGAACGACAGCTCTCCATGCGCCTCTCAAATCTCCCTCCAGCGCAGCCTCTGCGTTTGTATCTGGTGCGTCTCTCAAATCCGTCCGGGTGTGTGCTCCCCTTTTATCATCCGTTTCCGGTTTTCCATTTGCGCGGCAAAGCCTGAAATAGATTCTGCATTTATTTTTTGGATAATTATATCACTTGTTCTGTATTTCAAATAATATTTATGTTATTTATTGCGAATGTATGAGTCGAAGTTATCAGCAAACATATCCTATCGTTTATTTCTTAAATAGCATTTGAACATCAGCAAGTCTTTTAAAGACCATAGAAATGTATGTTTTCAATTTCAAAGCAAAGACCTTGTAATGTTTTAAACTCAGAAAAACATTTTAAAATACTGTTCTGTGCAAAGGAAGGTCGGTACATTCATTATGACTTGATCTTGGCTAGAAGCTAGTCTTTTTTTTAAAGCTCCATTTACCAATTTACACTCTTCGCTCTTTCACTTACCCTAAGAAAGTCATATTTGTAGTGCTGTGAATAAAACCCATGTTGTTTTTGCTCTTGCCTCTGCTTATTAAGCCAAACCTGCACCAGAAAATGTAAAAGCCATTTATTTTTCAGTCTTCACAGCAGTTCCTGAACAAAAAATTCAAAACAATAATGGACTAGAGCAGTATCTGTACCTCAAGTAGGATTCATAAAAGCTTCCAGTGCTTTTAAGCTATTTGGTGAATTATTATCCCGGTCTTTCTTACAAAATGGTATTAGAGTACCAGAATAATATTTGGACATGAAGACAAATTGAGACAGTTTTCATTCAAACCAAAATTTAATAACCTTTTTCAGCACACAAATATTTGCAGAAACCAGTGGTAACAAAATCATTGGTTAAACTTAATTCCCTGCTGTAATGAAAAGAAAGGCAGTGCTTCATTTTTGAAAATACTTTCTAAAATGCCATAGACACAAGTACAAAATGTTTTTTAAAAAGGGAAAAAGGTAATAAGGATTAAGAAAATCTACAAATTCTTTTATTTCTTAGCGACTCTTGCTCTGCGGGGTTTTGGCTGTGCTTCAGTCTCAACACTTTCCACCTTGCTGGAAGTTTCGGCCTCGTCTGCAGTTTCAACAACGACCTTTGCCACTCGCTTGGCTCTTTTGACGGGCGCAGCTTCAACAACTTTGTCTGAGAGATCCTTCTCTTCAGTTTTGTCGGCATCCATTGACACAGTTTTGGTGCAGAGTTTTGACTTCCTGCCTCGGACTGCCTTTACAGGTGTTGCCTTTGGAACCTCAAGGACCTCCACGTCTGCGTTCCACTTGACGGATCTTTTGGATGTTTTGGAGTCTTCCTGAACAGCGCTGCTTGAATCTTCAGTGGGATTAGCTGGCTCGCTGGTCACTGCGGTGGGCTTCGCTGCTGCCCGCCTCCCCTTTTTGACCGGCTCTACTGGAGCTGGTGCCGGATCTGAAACTGTGGATTCTTCGCTCGTCTCCTCGAGGGTTGGAGCTGCACCTCGACGGGCTTTTTTCGCTGGAACGGCTTGGGCTACTTCTTTTTTCGCCCCCCTTGATTTTCTGACTGGAGCTGGCTCTTCTTCACTCTTCTCTTCAGCCTCAGGT